GAAGGCGCGCTGCGCCCTCCATCTTTGTGCCCTGCGTACGGAACGCGCGCTTAGTAGGCCGCGAGTTGAGTTGGCTGGAGGCATTGAGTTAGCTCGAGAACCTTTGCAGCGTTGAGTGGAAGAATGGCCCTTCGGTTATGGCCCTACTCCCCCCAGGTCACAGCTCCCCGCCAGCAACCCGGGCCTCCACGCCTGGCCCAGGGATAGCCCTCACGGAACCTCGGCGCCCCTAGACACAGCCTTCCCCAAGGCCGCCCGCGCTGCTAGGCCCGGGGCTGATGGCCGGGAGGCGTGGGAAGGGTCCTGGTAGGCCCCTTCCCTGGACGCAGACAACCTGGGGCAGCTCTTGCCTTTTGCTTGTGACTTGTGGCCTGTGGCGGTTCCTGAGGGAGGTGGGGAAGGGAGACGGACTTCTGCCTCGAGAGGCTGTGGGAAAACTTGGCCAACTTTTTGGCCCACTTCTAACAAAACGACTTGATCTTATTTTTCCTACTCTTATTTTTCCCCTCGTCCTGATTTTCTCACCGACTTGTTTTTTACCTTGTATTACGTGTATTTTTGTAAGCCACCTCAGACCCTCTCTGGAAGGAGGGGCAGGTATAAATAAATTTGTGCGCAAGTAGAGTAGCTTGCTACTTGCATTACCCACACCCTTGTACAGAACTGCCCACTGACCCCCCATCTCCTTGCTTTCTGGATTACAGATGGCCCGAATTCCCTTCCTTCCCTTCCCTTCCTCCTTCAGGAAGTAGTTATAACAAGATATAGCCCTTGCCCCAGCGAATTTCGTATTTAGAGGAATCAGAACCAGGAACACCCGAGAGAAAGCTGAGGCACAATCCAGGAGATGCCACCAGGCAGAGTCCATTCATTCATTCAATAGTTACGGAAGGCCTACTATGTACCAAGAGCTGGTCCAAACTCTCCGGGTATAATAAAGTTCCCTGTGCTCTTGAAACAGAAGACTAAGGGGTCAGGCCCTTAAACAGAGACTCAGTGGGTGCTACAGAGGGAGACAGGATGGGAGCTCTGGGTAGTCAGGGAAGTCGGCTGGAGCAGGCCTTGACCTGGCCTTGATGGGATTTGGATAAGTGAGGGGCCATGGGGAGCATGCAGGAAGAAAGAGCTATTCTGGGCCTGGGGAATCGACCTGGTTGGTCAAAGCCTGAGGAGTCCCAGGGGAACTGGTCATGTCATAACTGCTCTAACCCACAGGAAGCATTTTCTTAACTATCAGAGTCGGGTTATACGGTTTCCACAAGGACAACCCAGTGAACTTCAGGAATCCAACAGGAATGTCCGGGGAATGGGGAGTTCGGGTCACCTTTGTATTTCAGGACAGCTGAAGGGTAAGCTCATTTTCTCCTGAGCTACTGTGATTCTTCCCGACGTCCGCTACTTTTCCCCCT